ACAAATGGGACCACATCAAACTAAAAAGCTTTTGCGCAGCAAAGGAAACCATCAACAAAACAAAAAAACAATCTATTGAATAGAAGAAGATATTTGCAAATGATATATCCAATAAGGGGTCAATATGCAAAATATGTAAAGAACTCAAAAAACTTAATATTGAAAAAAACCAAACAATCCAATTAAAAAATGGGCAGAGGACCTGAATAGATAATTTTTCCAAAGAAGACTTACGCATGGCCAACAGGCATAGGAAAAGATGTTCAACATCGCTAATCATCAGGGAAACATAAATGAAAACCACAATGAGATATCACCTCACACTTGTTAGAATGGTTATCATCAAAAAGACAAGAAATAACAAGTGTTGATGAGGATGTGGAGAAAGGGGAACCCTAATGCATTGTTGGGGGGAATGTAAATGGGGGCAGCCACTATGGAAAACAGTATGGAGATTCCTCAAAAAAATAAAAATAGAACTACCATATGATCCAGTTATTCCAGTTCTGGGTATTTATCCAAAGAATACAAAAACACTAACTCAAAAAGATACATGCACCCCTATGTTCACTGCAGCATTATTACAATAGCCAAGACTGGGAAGCAACCTAAGTGCCCATCGATGGATGAATGGATAAGGAAGATATAGTATACACAATGAATCACTGTCTTGTTAAATTATCTACTTCCCATGAGGCCAGATTGCCCACAATTTCTCCATTACCCTTAATTTCCCATTCCCTCTGTTATCCAAAGTAACCAAATACAATTCCCAGAGCTACTGCTGGGAGTTCTTAAATCCTGCTTTTTCTGGGTAGAGATAAGCAAGAAAGGAGGAGAGTGAAATGGTCAAGAGGTACCACCAGAAACAAATTAACATTTTGGTGCTTATAAATATTGCATACTAAATATGGTCCAAGAGAGGCCTCTGCTGGTTAGAAAGGATGTGGGAAGAAGGCTGGGAGCATTCCCAAGTCTGCGGACACCTTCCTCCTTATGCAAATATCATATCATCCCAAATTCCTGGAAACAGATTACCGTGACACACACCTACATCCCTCTCAGGGGACTTCCACGTCCGCTGCGTCATCTGAACTTCCCAGCAAGCCCACCAGGTAAGGCAGTCCTTATATGCCCATTTAAGCAGTGGGAAAATTAACGTTCACAAGGCTGGAGGAGTTGTGTGAACAGCGGCCCTGGAACAATGACCTTTCACTAGAACTCTTCCCACCAGTCTGTTGGCCTCTCATATGATAAGTGGAGGAGTTTTTTAGCTTCATAGAAAGAAACAGAAGCAAGAGATTAAATGCTAGGTGCAGTGCTGATACTCAATAAATACTGGTTTATCAACGTGGCTCCATTGATTTGAAATCTGATTTCTTACCCCACTGATAAAACACATACAGGGCCTGTATGAAAAACAAGCGGCGTCGCTACAGGAGGGAGCATGGGGCTGGAGGGAGAGGGCCCAGCCCGGTGACGCACGGGGAGCCCTTCAGCTGTAAGATGGCCAAGGAAGTGAACGCCAAGCCAGGGTATGGCCAGGTGGGCTCACTGCTTACAATCACTCAACATTTTAAACCTGTTCAGCACTTCGCTGCTCCACCTGCCTGGGGAGGAAGGAAATTCTTTCTACTAGAATCTAGTATTTGCATGACTTTTAATTTCCTGAATTTTCCATGAAACTCATTTTGTTCTAGTACAGCTTATGAGAAAATTTAGTCATTTCTTTCAGCTCTATTTTCTGCCAACTCACATCTCCCTCTCAGGTCACAGCACAGAGGAGAAAGTTCCCCAAGGAAGAGATTCACTCTGTGATTGACAGGAGGGAGGAAAAATATATATTTCAAATGGCAGGAAAAGACATTTGCTTCATTTCTAGGAAACATTTATCCCACAGCACAACCAAAATACAGCCGGCAGGATTTACAGACTCGGCCGCTAACCCGCCCCTGGGGCTGGCATGCTGGAGTTAGGGGCGAGGGCCTTCTACTGGGAGCCCCTCAGCAAGTCTGTGCCTGCGAGGCCCACATGCACCCTCTCTCAGCGGCAAAGCACCACCCTCCTCATTTCTTGCCTGAAACCAACTTTACACTCAGATAATTTGAAATAGGTTCTCACAGTAGATTGCACCATCCTACAAAAAAGAGTCACACTTACTAATTCTGTAAATAATACTTTTCTTGGCTAAACACAAGCATAATCTCACTGATCCTCATAAACTTCCATCCGTGTCTGTCTCCTCAGGCAGCCAGCAGCAGCACGTGACATCCAGCGGCTGGATTCCACCCATGGGTTCCCACCATTGCTAGACCACCCGAGAATCCACTGGACACCACCCTGGGAAGAGGTCTGAATTAAAGCTCCTGGAAAGTTAGGCTTGGGAAATATCTAATGAACCTTTCATACTGTGCAAAGACCAAAGAACTAAACTAAAACACGCAGAGGTGTGCGCACACACACACACTTCAACCAGCTGCAATCCTCTCTTGTTAAAATGCTCGTAATTAAGAGGACAGTCCTGAAGTATGAAAGAGTTGGGTTCTGGGTCCAATGCAGTCAGTTCTCTTCATCCTTGTCACCTCCTTTCTCCTCCCTCCAGCCCCGGTACAGCCAAGGACCTGACCTACTGTCCCTGCTTAGCTTCCCCTCCTCTGAGCCAGGCTTGTCCTGTTCTTACCATTTGCATCTTATCAAAACCTGTGCTTAGGCAGTTAGCAGGATGGAAGGGCCTAATAAATTAACTCCTATGAATGCTAAATTGACTGACAGCTGCACATGGCATGTGGCATTGCAGAATTCCTAAACTTGAAGAGAAGTAAGGAATCTTGGTGTCTGGGCCCCTCATCACTGAGAGAAGAAAACTGAGGCCCAGAGGCATGAAGTGACCTGCCGAGCGATGGTGGATCTGGGCTAGGAACCCAGATGTCCCACCCTTGACTGCTCACCTCTCCTGTTCTCCCTTGGCGCCCACTACTCTGGACTGTAGTTACTGTTTTCCATGGAACAAACCTCAAGGCTCTGCCTCTCTGACAGTGGGATTTCGGAAATCAGCAGAGAGGCCAAAGCAGCCTGCCCAGTGCCACCCAAGGCAAATCACACCTGTTTGTAAACCCACACTTGAGCATGGACTCCAGTAGGAGAAGAAGCCAGACACGCTCTGCCCAGTTCTCTCCCTGGACATGGCCAGGAGGCAACCCCAGCTCAGTCCTTGCCTCTTTCCTTTCCTCGCTATTCTCCAGGTGCCCTGCGTGGGCACACACCACCAATATGTGCCGAGTTGACTTCATCACTCCACATTATCAAGGCTAATATTGGGGTGCTTGAGGGGCCTGTAGGGCTGACTTTTAAAATAGTAATGAAGCCCTAGAGAATTCTTGGGGCTATGAACCTTGGGAAGTCCATCAGAATTGCATGCTGCAAGGGACAAGAACCAGATTTGCCCCTGAATACTTCTTGAATATCAGACTCAAAAATCACGTTTATTGAGCATTTCCTATGTGGCAGACCCTGATCTAAGTATCGAAGAAGGGGCTCTGAGTCATGGCTCACGGCTCCCAATAGATTGAGGAGAGAGACAGAGACAGAGAGAGGAAGAGATTTACTGTGTGTGTTAAAAATAGGCACATTCATTCAAATATCTTTCCACCAAAACCAATTCTGGATGATTTTTCTAAGTTTTAACCAATTGCGTTGACATCCTGTAGATATATCAAGTAGGATGTTACCCTCTATCCTGGCAGATACTTCTTTGCCCAGGTCTTCCTGAGAACAGTTAGAAGTGTCCCTTGGTTTCATGAGCACATTGGTTTGCCTTTTTCATCGTTTGCTGGAGTGAAGGGCAATTCCTCTTCCTCAACCATTTTGTGTTTGGGGACCAGAGGATAGTCATTAGCTCTGGAAGTACACTCAGATGGCCTCTCTGGATGAAGGTGAGCAGGTTGATTCTGTCCCCTAGTAGCTCTTTCTGCCACACTGTGTCCTCCCATATGGCAGTTAAAGGGGGCACTAAAGCTCTCACGGAGTCACTCTCTAACTCAGACAGCACCGAGACCAACCGGAGAAGGGCAGAGAGGCCCCATGCGAAGCTCGGCCCAAGGCCTGAGGCAGCTGTGTTTCTAGTATTCACACAAGAAGTATGAACAGACTAGGAAGCCGCCACATTCCCGGTGCTCCCCATCTGCTCCAGCGGAACGTGAAGACTGGCAGGGCAACAGACCACACGCTCTCCAATGACACAGAGGAAGCGTGTCTACACACAACAGAACTGCTCCCTCTACTGGATGCTGACATCTGCTCAGCAAACATACAGCAGAACAACTAAGCAAGCCAGGGGTCATCCCACATGCTGTGCACCTTACATCCCACATCCTGTGCACCTTGCACCTTACACTCAAGGACAATCTAAGATGCTCCCCCAAACCCCAATTGTTTATTAGCCACAGTTTCTGCATTTGTCATTTCTCCTATAACACAATGAAGTGTGATATCACAATGCAGTCAGGATTAATCTTATTAAAGAGGTTTGGAGAAGTTAAACTAACGTCTCTCTATTGATGAAGTGCCTAACAGATCCCTCTTTTATCCAAGCAGAAAAACAAACAAAAATCTCATAATAATTCACCAGAAAACATGAAAACATGAACGAGCTCTATTAGTGGAAGAGAACGTGCTTTCCGTCAAGTGCATACTCTGTTACAGAATAAGACGAGACCAGAGTGTGGCGTCATCAGTAACCTGACTCTCCCGTTCACAGCTTTAGCTTCCGGTCCGCATTAGGACGTCAGGCGCTTTGTCAGCTGAAAGCCCGCAATCTAAGTTAACTCTGAGTGGCGAGTCTGTGGGAGTCTCCCACGAGTCCGTCTGTCCCCTGCCAGCTCGCCTCACTGCCTCTGGGCGTTCCCCCTGGCATCGTTGGGCGATGCAATGTCACACGTGCCAGAGGGAATCTGCCTGTCGGTCGCCCGCGTTCCCTTTGGGCGGGGCAGTGCTGGCCCTCCTCACACCCACTCTGATCTCCTGGTTCTCAGGACCGGGACGCTGCCCGCGGGGCCCGGCCGGGCGGGGGGCTGCAGCGGGCTGGATGGGCAGCGCCGGGCCAGCCGGCTCCGGGGCGCTGGGGGAGGCTCCTCTGACCCGGCAAGGCCCTCGCTCCTTCGATCCTGGGACGCTTCTCCATGGGGTCTGCTCCCCGGCTCTGGGCCAGCCCTGGCCGGCTTGTCGCTGGCTAAGGACATTGCCTCACTCTCGTCCTCGTCAGGAAGCTCCATCAACCCGGACACCGACCTCCCGGTGGGACTGTGGGTACCCTCCCCTCCGGCCCACCGAGCAGGGAGAGCGGGCACCGCCCCTCCCTCCCACTCGCCCCTCCTGGCCACGTGCCCTGGGCTCCTGCCCCCGGCGAGGCCCTGTCCCCGGGGAGCCCGCGCGGCCCCGCACCCCCGGCCCGACCCCCTGCGCATCCGCCGCCTCGCGCTGCAGGCCAGGTCGGCGACGCTGAGCAGGAGGGAGAGCGCGCTGACGGCCCAGAGGAAGAGCATCATGATGGACTTCTCCGTGGGCCGGGACACGTAACAGTCCACCACGCTGGTGCACGGAGGGCGGGTGCACGAGAATCTCTTTGGGACCAAGAACCCAAAGAGGAGGTAATGCAAGGCGCCGAAGGCTGCCTCCGTCAGAGTCCGAAGAAAGAGGTGGACCATGTAGCCGCAGGAGAAGTCTGGCACGTCCAGGTTGCGTGCCTCCCTGTAGGGCGGTGGGCAGCGCCTGTCCCCAGGGGTCAGGTCAGAGGGGTCATGGCCCTCGGGACGGCACTCTGGCCGGCAGGGCCCGCGGGCGGCGAGCACGACCCCTCTGTGAAGCACATAGACGCTGAAAACGGCCGAGGGCAGGAGAACAGACACGCTCTGGATCAGCCAGAACCGCAGGTGGGACACAGGGGAGAAGAGGTCGTAGCACACATTGGCGCATCCCGGCTGCAGGGTGTTGCACACAAACCTCTCCTGCTCGTCCTGGTAGACGGGAGCCCCAGCCAGGACCACCACGGCCATGCGCAGCAGCATCGTGAGGAGAAGCCAGATCTTCCCTGGAAAGGAGCAAGCAGGGGGCACTGTCACGGCCAGACAAACAGACTTCCTCCCAACCACAGGTTTTAAGTCTTTCCTGGTGCTGAGGCTGGAGAAGCCAGACCTGAGTCAGCCTGTGTTCCAGTCACAGCCGCCGTGTGGGCCGTGAGCACCCTCGACAGGGCTGAGGGAGCCCTGGCCCGCGGCCCAGGCTGCGCAGAACTGGTTCTCGGTGACACGCTTCGAGGTTAGCAGATTTTAAAGAAGCATTAGATACTAAAAATGTTTCATCTTGGGGCTGGCCCCGTGGCCGAGTGGTTAAGTTCGCGCGCTCCGCTGCAGGCGGCCCAGTGTTTCGTTGGTTCGAATCCTGGGTGTGGACATGGCACTGCTCATCAGACCACGCTGAGGCAGAGTCCCACATGCCACAACTAGAAGGACCCACAACGAAGAATACACAACTATGTACTGGGGGGCTTTGGGGAGAAAAAGGAAAAAATAAAATCTTTAAAAAAAAAAAAAAAAAGTTTCGTCTGACTTCTCTAGTTCAGACTTTGGTAAAGTCTCCTGGACTGAACGGTCTGGAAAGAAATCAGGGCTGAGCAAATTAATAATGTAAATAAGATCTTACTCTTCTTAGCTGAATAAGCTTTCTAAAGAATGTTAGTGCATTCCTGTAACTGTGTATAGCCAATACAAGCTGCCAATGTCGGTTTGTCTTCTTTATTTATGATAATGGTCCACAAGATAGTAAATCACAAGGCTGGGACTTAATGTTGCTTTATGGTCCTTGACATAAAATTTCTTTAAGAACATTCAATTGTTCAGATTTTTCAATAATTAAGAGTTTCTTTCCTGCTATTCCATTCATTATGAATCGAGGTTTATTTTTCTTTAATTTATCATGAGTAAATGATACTAACCTAGAAATCAAAATAACTTCAAAGTCCTATTTTCATGTCTTGAGTCGATCATTTTGGGACATGTTTAAAACTCAGTCAAAATCATTTGTAAATATTTGATTTTGTAAGGAGATACAGAAAATATCACCTAATATCAGAAAAACAGATCTCTATTATAAATGAAGGCAGTTAAACTCAAAGAACATCATTACATCATACAGCCATTGACTCAAACTTTTAAGACCCAATTGATTTTGTTTAAATTCTACAAAATAACAAGTAAGAAAAATATCAATCACTTCATGGGCATATTTTAATGTTTTTCTCAATTTCTTTTTCTTACCTCTGTAAAAATTTGACTTGTCTGCATCAAACTCAAAAATCTTTATTACTTTCTTCGTTACAAAAAAAAACAGCTAAACTAAAATTGGGATTTAATTTAAATGCACAAGAGAAATTACTAATCTTTATAAGTTTAGCTTCAATGATAAATCCTAAAAAGATGATCAAGAAGAAAGCGTAATCAAGGCATTAATCTCTCTTTGACTTTTACTGTATTGTTTCTTTTCCTGGTCATGCAGCCAGAGGAGAGTTACACAAAAATACCCCTTCCACCTGCTCCAGCCTTCAGACTCAGCCCCAGAATGTCAGCCAGAAGAGGCCCCAGGAGAGAAACCGCACTCACACAGAGACGTCCTTACCCCGTGGGGAGCCAACGAGTGCTTGCGAGAGAGAAAGTGTGAACCCACAGCTCCCTTCCCTCCAGCAATACACAGGCCTTTGTCCTGGGGGTGGGCCAGGCAACCCGAGGAAAACAAGACCAGAACATGCGCTCCAGAGGTGTTCCTCCACTCACCCACGATGGTCACATTGCAGTTCAGCGTGACGATGAGGAATCCCAGCAAGTCCAGACGCTCCATGCTCCCCGGGCGTCGCAGACTCAAGGCTGCTGGAGACCTCGGAAGCCTGTGTTCTCCAAGGAGTGGGGAAGTCTTTGCAGGAATAAATACAATCTTAGCTACAAAAGACTGAACGGTGAGAGCTGGAGAGAGGAAAGGGAGGATTCAGGCCCCGGAGCAGGAGGTGGGTTTCTCTGTCTCCGAGTTGAGACAACCCTGAGCTGTTTGCCTCTGAGGCAAAGTGCTCCTGACAACTGCAGTGACCGGAGACAGGGGAGTCATCTCTCGCTGTGCGCTATTCTTACCCCTTGGACATTCCAGGCCCGCAGCAGCGCCCACGTCTCCACCAGGAGAGTCAGACGCTCGCGGATGGAATGAAAAAGACTGCATTCAACCCAAGAAAGAAAACTGTTAACCAGCCAGGTAAACTTCTCTATTAAAAAAGTGTTTCCTCCCTGAAAATATTTCCAGAACCACTTCACTTGTTAAAGAAGCACTAAAATGTTCATGTTTCGTCTTCTCTATGAGCGTAACCCACCATAACTCTAGCCCAAAAGGGTCTTGCTCTCATTCTGAATTTCTACACCTTTGATGCAAGCACCAGTCTGCACAGGGACCGAGCCCCACCGTTAGGCTGTGACACAGTTATTCTCTAGCTGTTTCCTATTTGACAAGAGCTCTTCACCTGGAGACAAAAGGCCTCAGTGCAAAACGGGGGGCAGCCACCAGGTTGCCAAGGGAGTCCCTGAATCTCTCCAGAGAGCCTCGTCTTGCAACGGAGGGCTTTGCGGAGGCAGACATGAAATGACGGTGCAGAGACCACTTAGCATACAGTGGGTGTGCAACAACTCAAATCAGTGGAATTTCGAGCCCTAACCGGCCCACAAAACCTTCAGAAATTGCATCTTCCCATCTAGACCCATCTAGCCCAGGGCTGCTCCCATTGAATCAGCTTAATAAGTGTCCGTTAAATTTGTAATAAAATATCACAGTCTGGACCTGCTGACATCAATCACAGTTGCATCAAAATCCTATCGTAACTGTCACCTTTCTATCTGGGAAGAACCCGTCCTGCAAGGCTGCAGATCTATCTCAGGGTGGAAATTGTGAACTTTAAAAGGAACGATTTCAATTTTCCATGAAAGTTATTCTTTATATTCCTATCTTTTCTTCATTTCTGATCTATTCTTGACTTTAGTAATATCGCTAGGAAGGTTCCCAGGAGTACAACAAAGCTGCTTTCATCTTTATTCACATGACACATTTCCATCCACAGAAAACATTTTGACCCCCTTGAAAGGAAAGGCAGTTTTGCTATATTTTAGTCAAACTTCAACATGAGCCATGAAATTTAGAGAAGTTGTAGTTATGTTAAAATATTGAAATAGTTATTTCAAGGATTCAAGTATAAAATAAAGGAAAATATCTTTGCTTCCTCATAGACTGTTGATCATATTGGCTTAAAAATTGAAATACCAGGAAAGCAATTACTGAGCTTCGCTGTATGATATAAATAGCTATTCTGAATGTGGATTAAATTAGAATTTTGCGACCTTGAGCAAATCACTAGAGCTTTCCATGCCTCAGTTTTCTCATCAGCCAAGTAGAAAAAAGGATATGCCCTTCACCCATGCAGAGTGGTTGTGATCAGCAGATGAGATCAGAGACATGAAAACTATTGAAGAATACACAGACTTACATGTGTCAGTGACTGGTGCATCTCAGGGTCTGCTCCTCTGGGCCCACCGTTGGTCTTTCCCGTCACTCCCACGGCATCTTCTGACAGCCGAGGCTGCCTGTTCCTTCCCCATCCTTATCACTTTTGCTCTTTTCCCTCTAAGTCCACCCTGTCCCCATTCTATGTCTTTCTTCCCTCTCTCACCGCTAGGAGACATTTTTGCTTTACCTGGAAATCCTAACCCCAGTGGCTGCCAGAAGCAAGATTGGGACAGGAGAGGAGGAGGAGGGTGTGGCTGGAGCATCAAATACATGGTGCCCTCTCTGTAAAATTATTCCAGAATTGACGGGGAAGTTTCTATGTGTGTGTCTGTGGAGTGAAGAGTTGGAGTATTGTGCTCAACCCAATGCAAAAAAAACCCAGTGGGAGTCAGGGACGTGGAGGTGGCAGATCTGTACAAGATGCCCAAGTGGGATTATTCACAAAACGAACTGAGCAAAGAAGAACGAGAACAATAGAGTCACATGCTATTCAGTCTTGGCTTCACCTCCCTCTAGCTTAGTGACACTGGCAAAGTGCTCAGGCCTCAGTTTTACCATCTGTAAATTGGAGATAATGATAGTTCATTTATAGGGTTACTGAGAATTAGGGTTAATTTAAATGAGATTTTAGTACATTATTTGGCCTATAAGAAGCTCTCAGCAAATGATAACAGTCAATTCTCATTATTCATGGTTGTTACATTCCACACAGTTGCCACAAACTTTGAATTAGCAAATTCTAGGGGCTCCAAGGGGAAATACAGAGTTGGGTTCCCATGAGCCTCTCGTCACAATATTTTTGTCACCCAGTTAATACACAACATTGTTTTATGTGTGTGTCTATTTAAAGACACCTTAGCTAACACACACGTATATAATATATTTAGCATAGTTGGCTCATTAACAGTGAACTCACGCCAACAGCACTATGACGCACCAGAGCCAAGCTCATCTCACACGCATCCTTCTCTGTGAGGCACACGACAGCCCTCTTGAGCTGAGGAGCACTAGACAGCATTTCAGCACTATGCTTGCGGGCATTTTAAACAGTGAAATCACCAAGAAAAAGCATAAAAATTTGAAAAACGTGGCACTAAAGAGACCCTCCGCCCCCTCCCCCCGCTGTAAAAATAAGCTTGTTCACAGTATGAAAACTGAAACGAGAGGGCCCAGTGTCACCTTGCGCCACCTCAGAGGGGAACGTGTGCATTGGGTGAATTTCAGTGTTCTGTGCATGTCCACAAATGACAGTGGAAGCCCATGAATATTGATTTTGGGTTACAAATAAATTTTGGGAAGTAGGTGAATTCACAAATCTGGAGTCCATGAATAATGACGATTGGCAATTTAATACCACGGGTCCACCAGAGGGAAGAGAGGCCCAGGCCGATGAAGGGTCAGTTCGGAAGAGGACGGCGGCCCCGGGAGCCACAGGCTGGAGAGCTGTGAAAGCGGCAGGAGGCGCAGCACGGACCCCCGGCCACTCCTGCTTCAACCACAACCCCTCCTTCTCTGCGTGATTTTTGTGTTTTGGCCAAGACTCCCCCTGGATAAAGGAGTCTGTGTCTAGGAAGAAATGTTGGAAAACATCTGCCCACGTGGAAATTCTGGGAGGCAGCCTAACCCATCCAGGTGAACGACACGAGCTCTGGGGTCTGACGGCCAGGATTGGAAGTGGAGCGTCTCAACCTTGGGAGAGTTACTCAGTCCCCTTCTGAAAGCACAGTAGCTAACCCCACCCTACAGTGATTGTGAGGCAAAAATGAGGAGACACCTAACGCACATAGAACAGTGCCGGCCAATGCGTGTCCTCGGGAACTGTTAGTTCTCACCCTTGTTACCAGCCAAGAACAAGGCAGCAGTGAAGACGGGGTCTCAGCCGGCCTTTCCTGCAGAGAATGGCTGCTCCAGGGCCTGATGGTCCGGCCCAGAAACCTGGCAGGAGAAGGCATTTTTCCTCCCAGGCTCAAAGTGACAAATGGCTCCTTGGGAAATAGAATCCGGCTTCCAGTGGGCTTGGAACTGATGGCGTCTGTTTTGTCTTGCTGTGTGTGTGCAAGGAATAGCTTGATTATCTAATTGGAGAAATGAATGTTTTACTTGTTCTCAAGATTTAAATGACTTCTTCAGGACTGTGGGTAGGAGGCAAAGGCTCAGCAGCTGCGCCAGGGCAGCGGACGGATCACGCCCACCGTCACCTCCCTTCTGCGTGTGTGAATCTACAACGAAATGGGTCCTAGAGAATGACTTCTCTGACAGTACAGCTGCCCCAGGCATGAGCAGTCTCGAGTGAACCAGCTCCATGCAGACCAACTGCCACCCACACCCAGACCTCCCCACAGGAGACGGCCAGCTAAAGTTAACAACCTGGGCGACAGGAGACCCTGGAGGACTGGTGCGAAGAGGAGGAAGTTTTTTTTTTTAGCCGAGCCATTTCCTGCTCCTATGGACCCAAAGCTATCGTTCTTAGATTGTATTTTCAACTCTGGCTCAACTCAACTTCACAGCTTCCAGGAACAGAGGCAAACGTCTTCTCTCTACCAAGACAGCATCGACAGTATCCACTAGAATTTGCTTTTGTGGCAGTTGGGCTGGTTCTTACAAGCAGAGCGGTGTGACTTCTCTCCCAAAGGAGGAAAAGAACTTCCAGGTGCTGATCTCACCTCAGAGCAGCTCCGCGAAGATCTTTTAAGAGACATTGAAGCAACACAAATCCATCTTCTCAACCATAACAGAACAAGGTGAGTCACAGGAGTGCACGCGTGCCAGAGAAGACCTTGAAGGAAAGTGATGAACTAAACAGGATGAAGGATGCAGACCCATCAACATCCTACTTCTGCGGCCATTCATCCATCCGCGAAACCATATCACCCACAAGGCAGCACAGACGGGTCCTGATGGGGGATGCAAGGACCCCAGAATTCCATTTTCCACAGACTTGTTGACACATGTGCATTTGGAAGTGGAGGTCACCTTAAAATCTATTTAGTCCACCTTCCTAATCTTACACGTGAAATCAAAGATGTGGTCCAGACCATCCAGCCTCAGTACAGAGCTTAGATGATATTTGGTATCCTGACTATGGTCAGAGAATTTCCGATCCAGAACACATCAAAAGTACAAAAAAAGGGGGCAGCCTGGTGGTGCAGTGGTTAAGTTTGCATGTTCTGCGTCGGCGGCCACAGTTTACTGGTTCAGATCCGCGGTGTGGACCTACACACCACTTGGCAAGCCATGCTGTGGCAGGCGTCCCACATATAAAGTAGAGGAAGATGGACATGGATGTTAGCTCAGGGCCAGTCTTCCTCAGCAAAAAGAGGAGGATTTGTGGAAGATGTTAGCTCAGGGCTAATCTTCCTCAAAAAAAAAAAGTAGAAAAAAACCCCTCACTGTCCAGAATGTTAAAGACATCTAATTATCTGCATAGCAAGTATTTGAAATTGTA